TGGTGTTTTTGATCTCTCTTTAACAACCGGGCTGTGTGGTGTGAAGGCAACTGGCCCGGGGTTCCATCGCTGGGTAGAAATGCAAACACAGACTTCCTGTGTGGGAAGGGCAGGGAGGAAGAGGCTCTGGGATGGAGAGGCCATTTCCAGCTCCTGAAAGGCCCCCTCCAGGGGAGGTCATGGAGATGGTTATCGGCCTGCGAAGGTGCGGTGTTCTGTCTTCCAGGGTTCTGGATGAACTCATTAGGCGATGAACAGAATCCGCTGTCGTGAGAACTCTCTCCTTAGGGGCAGCAGGCCATCGGGGAGGAGGTGCGTTCCCTTAAGCTGCCAGGCTGCAGGGCAGCGTTCAGAACCCACGCAGGCCATTTCCCTGGGCTTGGTATTTTGATCCCAGTTCTAAAGTCACTAATGAAGAAAGGAAACAAGGTCCGCTGTCACGCGGGCCTGATGAGGTCAGGCAGATGTGCAAACTTACTTTCCGTCAGGACACTTTTGGTGCCTTCTGGGCAGAATGTAATCAGTGGGAGTGAATTACTTTGAGTCACAAGAGAATTGCCGGGGGTAGAAGACCGCAGATCTTTATGGGGAATCTTTTTTCCCCATATCTTTTTTCTAATGTTTGGGGTTTAGTTTTTAAAAATTTTTAATAAAGGGAAAAGGTGGGTTTCTTTCAGGCTCTCGCTGGCCTCCCCAGTCACAGGGTGGAGTCCTGAGCCAGGTCTTGGTGCTCTGGATCAGGGGACAGGGCGAGGGTGCTGAGGTGGAATGGGAAAGCTGTCCAGCGGCTCCCTGCTTCCCGCCCCTATCTGTTTCTATTATTGGGCGATTCTGGCCCATTTCCTGTTATTATTACACTTATTGTTGTCAGAGGAAGCCAATTCGTTTTAATATTAGCCTGAACAAAACATAATTAGGAAGAGAATCTGCTGCCCGAAAGGAAACTGAAGTGTTGCTTCATGTTCCAAGCACAGGTCTCAGATAAACAAAACAAAAAACAAGACAGAAAAGACCAAAACAACGCCCCCGCTGTGCACACCGGTACACATATATACGCACGCATGTGCACACACATGCACACACACAGAGGAATCCTCTCTCCACACATCCTGCAGAGCCTATAAAAAAAGTCAGTGACTCCAAGGAAAAATAGCCTGAAAAATGAGACGATTGATCAGGCTTTTCACTACTTCTGCTTTTCTTTTGGAAGAGGAGAGAAAAGCGGATGGACGGGAACAGCTTGGAGCCCCAGTGTCCCCACTGTGTCCCCGCTGTGCTGTGGCCTTCCGTCTGGGGACCCTTCCTCCTGCACACAGCCTCAGAGGCCCGGGGTCCGTCTCGAGCCAAGGCTCCTTCTCCTTCCCTGCCTCCTCAGCTCCCGCCCTCTCACGGGGTGACGCCCACCCACTCTGAGCGGTGCTGGGGCAGAAGGAGGAGGAGGCAACAGGCCCGAGAGGCGCAGCACCGAGGCTGTGCCAGGCCCTGGCACAGGGCTTTACTCAGCACCCCGATGTCATGGAGGCAGGGGTGCAATCACTTTGTTCTTCAGGGGAGGAAACTGAGGCACAGAGAGGCTGTAAATCCTGCCCAGGTTACAGTTAGAGGGTCGTGGCGATGGGATCTGGACACGGGCTGAGGCGCTGACGCCCGGGCCAGCGTTTTAACTGCAGTCCTAATGTGCCTCATTTCGCTTCCGTAAGCCTCGCGGTTCTTATTCACGAACCAGAGATTCTCTCTGCTCCTGCTCCTGTCTCCCCTGCACTTCACCCTCACACAGCATCCAGAGAGATTGCACGAGCTGGGCTCAGGCTCGGCTGGCGGGAGCAGGGATATATATAAATAATGTCCGGAGTAGCATTAATGGGCTGTGTGGCTCTGCCCCGAAGCCCTTGGGCTCTGGAGATTTTTTAGTCACTGGTGTCTCATTCAGAGGAGTGGTTCTTGCCCTCATGGGCCCTCATGGGCCAAAAAAGGCAGCAGAAGCATTATTCATCACATCGGAATTCCAGGCTGAGGATGAAGGAGAAAATGAAAAGGATCCAAAGCTGCAGAGTGCCTGTCTCCTAGGGGTGACTTGAGAAAATGCCCGCTACTGGTTCCTGCTCGTTGTCCATTGACTGGACTAGCTGGACGTAGCCCTGGGGCTTTTATATGCAGCACATCCCCGCAGGAGAGGCTGGAGGCCGTGCATCCAGTCCAAGTGTGGCTTTGTGTGATGGCAGGAGGAGCAAATGGACCCTGGGACAGAGCACGGAGTCTTCTGCAGCAGCCCCTTCGAAACTTGGATCTGTTGGTGCTGAAAGCCACGGTGGTTGGCACACTGGTGCCGGGGCTCCAGGCCGAGTGGAGCCTCCCCAGGGCGCTGGTGCCCCTCACCTGGCTCCGTCCTTCTCCCGCTCTGTTCCCACCCCCACCCCCAGCTTATTGCCTTTTCCTCCCATTGGAACAGAAGCCCTGTGAGATCAGGGAGCCTTCTGTTTCCCGTGAACAGTTCACAGTGTGGCGCTCCACACGGTGCCAGGCACGCCCTGGGCATCCGATCAGCAAAAGTCAAATAAACAAAGCACAGCTTGAATAAATTCCCACTTTGTCCATCTTCCTAAAACTTGGGAGAGAATGAATCACCGTGTGCAAACAGCAACAACTGTGCTGACGGGCTTTGATGCCCGCCGTGTGCAGAGCGGCTCTGCCGGCCTGGGGGGCAGCCAGTGCTGCTGGCTGTGATGGCTCAAGGCTGCGCTCGGTGGGGGGATTTCCAGTCATTGCACCCCAAGCGCCAGAGCTACCTATCCTCAGCCCATCCCTTCCTGCCTCTGGTGTCCTGTGGACCCCTCACTGTTCGCACAGCTCCCTAGAACGTCTCCCTGTGGTTCATGGCAGCGTGGGGAGTGTGGCATTGGGTCCGAGGCTCTATCAGGTTGCTTTCCGGCCTTCGTCTCCTCCCTTTGTGCCATCACGGTGGAGGATCCAAGTTCAACCAGGAGACCAGATGACCAGAAAGAAAGGAATTTGGATCTGGGTTTAGGAGGAGACAAACTGGGGGGGGCATCGTTTTTTGTGTAAAATCAGAACGTTCAGCAGCGGGTCTGTTGCCGGATGCCAGGGTGCCCAGCAGCACTCGGTGAGGTGGGGCTTCCTTTGTGTTAGTGTCCAGGGACTTTCTGCCCAAGCTTCAGAACTCCACGGGAGTGCTGCGCTGACTTTAATTACATTCAGATTTTCACTTCCAGAGACAGCGAGCACTGATTCATGTTAAATAGACAGTAAGAAAAGTGATCAGGAGATAAAGAAGTTGATTTGGGCTTTTGCCTTTAGCAGGCAATTTTAGGAAGAGAGCAAACGAAATCCACGGTGGGAGGAGACAGGACAGAAGGACCCGGGGAGCCATGGGGGAAGCCACTTTAAAGAAGCACGTTACTTCCTGGCACAGGCATGGCAGCTGTGCCACGGGGGACCGGGAGGTGGCATCAGACCAAAGGGCACCGGGTATGCACGGAAGTAGAAGCCAGGAAATCAGGAGGGACAGGGAGCAGGCATCCAGCAAGGAAGGCGGCCACGCAGGACGAGTGTCTTTGAGGTGGGGATGAATGGAAGACACTCTAGGAACATACCACCAAGCAGGAAGAGCTGAGCGCTATGTCCTCCGACTCCCGAGACTGGCAGCCCCTGATCTGAATATGTCTCTTGCTGTGCTGCAGGAAACAGCTGCACTCCGGCTGGGAGGGGGCCCCAGTGATGTGAACATCGGACAGCTTAACAGAAGGAGCCCCAGGACCGGCTGACCTCGCTCAGCCGAGCCTTTCCAGTTTCATTCTGATTGTCTGGGCCATGGCTTGGGGACGAGGTCAACAGTATGACTGTGAAGCACAAAGATGCTAGCTATGTCCCCTTCCTGTCCCTGCTCACATTTGAGCATTCTAAGTAGGTGGCATCGGGTGGCCGGAGAAGAGGACTGTGGCTGGGAAGTGGAAAGCCAAATTGTGATGCCCAGCCCTCCCTGGGCCCGGCCAGCCCAGTCCTCCCGGCTGCCTTGGGGCATCAGTCTTGGACTGGGCTGGGTGTGGAGAGAGAGACCGCAGGAAGAAGCAGACATGAGGGAGTCTTCTGATGTAAAACGGGAGACAGGACAGAGGCAGAGAAGTGAACCTGTGCACACGTGCTCCCAGGCACACCCTAACTGGGTGTGCAAACCCATAGGCACGGCTTGGGGTGCTGTTGGAAGCTTCTGGAAGCAAATCCCTGGGGATTTAGAGACCAGGTACACTGATCCCCCAGACAGGAGGGGGGATGCGCGGATGCGGGCGGAAGGATGCATTTGCTGCGGAGAGGAATTTGGGGTTGCATTTTGAGCAGCCGTGGTCAGCAGAGAAGCTGCAGAGCCTGAGGAGACTTCCCTGGGGTGGTGTTTTCGCCTGGATGATGAGACCGTTTCAGACCCTTGTATCTGGGATCTAGAGATGCAGCTCCCTGGAAACACTTGTCCTTATTGTCATTGGCTTTCTTGTCCATAACTTGCTCAGTCTGTTAAGTTGTGAATGGTTAGCACTCCTGTAAATGCCACCTGAGTCTTGGAATCCCCCCAAATCCGGTGACACTGCATAGGCGGAAAAGCCAGTAGTTCTTTGCCTTTGACCCAGAGCTGTCGCTGCCTGCACTGTTTGGGCTCAAAAGTTCCATTTTCTGATCTGACACGAGGAGAAAAGCTAGTATGAGAAATTCGTGTTTAAAAACAGTAAGAACATGTGAGCCCCAGGACCTAGAGTTACAGGAATTCCGAAAAGTGAAATAATTCTGCAAACAAAAAGAAGACAATCTACTCTCTGATCCTGCGCATGACTCTTTTTTCAATAAAAAATTATCATTATTTTATTTTATTTTTTTGCAGTACTGGGGATTGAACGCACAACCTTGCACTTGCCAGGCAGGCACTTATGCCACTGAGCTAAATCTCCGGCCCCCAAAAAAATTATTTTATAAGGCCAAAAAAACCCCCCAAAATTATAGTTTGACAAAGTACTGAATACTGAGTTCAAGACCGAAATTGGGAGAGATTCGCGCTGGCTGGATGTTAACTACAAGTCGAGCAGAGAACTGAGTCCACCCATGTGTGGCTCAGTTTCCTCTGGGCTTGCGTTGCCCAGACTGGAGTCATGGCAGAGTCACCGGAAAGAAAGCACACTCCAAGGGTCCCTGAGCTCTTGCGTTTTCCTCATGGCTACAATCGAGGCCTGTGTGTGCCATGGTGGAAACTTCAGAGGAAAGATCGGAAACTGAATCTTGGGAGTCAAAGAGAAAGAAGCCTGCGCTGTGCCCTTGTTTCAGGAGCTCCCGCGAGGCATCCTCCTCTTGCTGTTGACTCCGTCTGGCACCTGGGTGTTCCATGGCTGTGTTGTCCTGAACGATGAAAAATTGTCAAGATTGCAAGAAATTCCAAGTCGCACCAAACTAGGGGAAACTGGAGCCTTTGCCCCCCGTCACCAGCACATTCTCATCGATTCCTTAGCAGATGTCGCCAGTGCTCACCCGTGCCCCTGTCCCTTGTTCGTGGGTGCCCCCAGGAGACTTCTAACAGTGTCCAGCAATCTGTACCTGTGGGATAGCTCCTAGCAAGCTGAGCACGTGGGGCTCCCTGCTCTGAGGGAAGTTCCTTATAAAAGCCTTGCTCTCCCTCATGGGCGAGGTTCCCCAAGCAACATTTCCAGTCCATGTTCCAGCAGTCTCATGGGACTGAGCTCCAGGGCCCCGGTGCTGACTGGCCTGCTTGGTCACCTCCCCTTCTCCACACCCATCCCCGCCCCCTGTATTTCCTGCACCTCCCAAGCGAACCACCTTCGCCACCTCCTCACCTTGGTGTCTGCTTCTGGGGAGCCCCAACCCCTACTGTGCACAAGGCACTGTGCCAGGAATTCATTGTCTGAAGACCCATTGCATTCCCAGGCCTCAGACACCGGCGACAGGCTGGCGGGCAGACGTTTGTTGGGAGTTTGGGCGTCTAGTCTTAACAACTTACCTCATAGAATTAGTGTGAGGTTTAGGCTTGTAAAACTCTTAAAATAGTGCCTGGCATATAGTAGCAGCGAAGTAATTATTAGCTATTATATTTATTATTCTGATGAGCTAAGGCCTTGAGTGTTTAGTAGCTCTTGTTAAAATATCAATTCCAAGCAAAGGGCGCATGCTTGGCTCTGACGGAGGAAGACAGTCTTTGTGGCCTGACCTTGAGGGAGTGAGACAAAGCAAGGTGAGCCTTACGGGTGGCAGAGGAGGGAAGGGATGATTGGCAGGAGGATGGGAGCCCCAGAACAGCCCAGTGGGGCCTCCCCAGAGACCAGGACTCCCTGTCCTGGGGCTCCAGGCTGCCTGGGTGGAGGGGGCCATACTAAAGCAGGTGCACCCAAACTTCTGAGTCCAAAGCCTACCCGAGTACAGTGGGAGTGCGGAGGATCAAACTCACTCGTTTACCCAATTTTATCACTTTAATGCATTTATTTAGCACATTTTAATTCAAATCAGAGTTGCAAAGGTCATGGAGGAGTCCTAGTAGGAGCCCGTGTGTCTGTAAGCAGTGGTGGGAGATCAGTCATTGAAAGTGCTTGGGAAGAACATGTGTGTGTATCAGACACTGGCGATGGCTCCTTCTGCCCTGGGAGCCAGGAGAGAGAGGAAGGAGGGACAGCCAGGCCGTGTTTTAACAGACAGCGGACTTTACAGACCACGCTGTCTTCACTTTACCCTGTTTGTTCAGTCTGGTTCAGACCTGGATGTCCCTGAAGGCCCCAGCTGCTCACGGGCAGGGATTTCGGAAGGTTATTGAATCGTATGGTTGATATAGCTGCTAGGGGATAAGGTCTGATGGGGAGAGAAGAGACCCTGGGGCGTAGCCTTGGAGGGTTTGTCTGCCTGTCTGCTGCTGCTTTCTCTCTCTGCTTTCTGATGGGAATGACCGACCTCCCTCCACACCCTCCCATCATGCATGGAGCGGGCTATGACTGAAACTTCTAAAAACCGTGAGCCAACAGAAACCTCCCTCCTTTAGGCTGTATATGTGGGCATGATGTCCCATTGACAAAGGTAGACTGCTGTGCCAGGGGAGGGGAGACATTGCTACAGCTACCTGATCATGTGATTTCAGAAGACTTTAGAGGTGGTTCCTGGGAGGAATTTGATAGGTTTGGAAATGCTGACTGGAGAATCTTAGAATTCAAGCTTGATGGGAGATTCAGGTCAGACCTCAAAAGACCAGAATGCAGATTTTTGAAAATAGATGATAAAGATCAGGCTCAGGATGCTTCAGTAGGAAACAGACTCTGCTGGCCATTGGATTCCAGGCCATGTGTTTTCTGTTCAGGCAGAAAAATTTGTCTACATTTGTTCAAGTTTCCGAGTCTTTGTGGGAGACTGAGACTGAGCACAGTGGGCTGGTGAAGGAATGTTCAGGGGAGCCCAGTGTTTAAGTTTGGCATGGGTACATTTGGAAGTTTTTAGTCAGATCTTTGGTAAGAAGCAGTATCAACAAACAGAGGTAAATAATTGAATGTTTTTCCTGGTGGCTGGGAAGGAAGCATTTGCAAAGATGGGGGTCTGTAAATTCGGGACCTGTAAAGTATAAGTTAAAGAGAGCTTGGTTGCTAAAATGATTCACATTAGGCAAAAGTACTTAACATCAGGATAGTAGGAAGGATATCTTGAGGACCTCATCTTCCTCAAGCTCAAGAGTCCAAAAGCAAAAGACTTTGCTTTAAGAAGAGGGCCTAAGGGAACCCAGCTCATCCAGTGCCAGCTGAAGAAGGGTTTCTATGAGCTCAGGCATCCAAGCACTCATAAAGTTCTGTATCTGTGGGTCTGGTTACTACTCAAGCTGACAACAGACGTTGCTGTCATCCACGTGGCGCTGGCTTAATAGACATGCAAAATGTAAGAATTGTGGGGTCAAGGAGGCTTCCACCAGGATTTTAAAAGGCCTTTCAGGCTAAGGCACCAAGCTCCGAGAAGGAGGTAAGGCTCTGAGAGTGAAGCCCAAAGTGCAGAGGAGGCCCCAGGAGATTAGAAAAGCCCAGAGCATGGAGTGTTCGCTGAGAGACACTACAGGGCATGAGCAAGGCCTCCCTGTGAGAGGCCATGAGGGCTGTATCTGGCAATATCATAGGTGCAGGGCTGCCCAAGCCCTTTGGGTCATATCTCACCCCAGCTTGCCCCGGTGCTGGATATGGAGCTACAGGGTTCAGTGTTTGTCCTGCTGGGATCAGTCTTGCTTTGGTCCCATTCCTTCTGTATCCCCTGTGCCTCCCTTTTTGCAATGAAAATGTTTGCCTTGTGCCCCTGTATGTCAGGATTGTTTAACTTGCTTAATTTTTATAGGCACTCACAGCTGAAAATTTGCCTTGAGACTCAATAGAGACTTTGGGCTTGGACTTTTCATCACTGCTGGAACTGTTAAGATCTGGTGATTCTCAGAGATGGATAAAGTGCATTTTGCATAAAGAGGTATGCACATCAGGGAAGAATCTCACGGTTTAGGCTAAGCATGCCCCCAGGGCCTCTTGCACTCATGGGCAGGGTCTTTGGAAGGTGCTTGGATTGTGCAAATGACATAGCCAACCTGCTGTTAGGATGTGGGGCCTGGTGGGATTAGGCAGCTTACTATGGGTGAACCCTCAAAGGGTTCATCTCCCTTCCCAGCTTTGCCCTTCTCTTCTGTTTCCTGGTTGCCATGATGAGAGCAGTTTTCTTCCGCCCAGGCCCTTTTCCATGCCACTGTTGCCTGGCGCTGTCTGTCTATGGAGTGACATCTGCAAATTGTGAACGTCTCCTGTGAGTTGTGGGTGCTGGGTTTCCTGTCCCAGTGACGAGGAAAGTGGCCAAGGCACCCCCGAGTGCTGGGATGAGGTTGAGCCATTTCATCTCTTTGGACTTCATTTGGGTTCTTTACCTGGAGCTTGAGCTCGTGTCCCTAAACTCACAAGGCTGCAGAGGGGTGGCTGGGGATGCGTCCCGCAGCAGCTCCTCACATGGCAATTTCTTTCCTTCCCACTGAAAGTCTAGCCTGAAATGAGCAAGAGATAACTAAGCAAACAGCGCCTCAGCATAAGGACCACGGGGTTTATTAACACACAGTTCCCATGACGTACCAGCCACCCTGGCAGAGGGACCCCAGCACAGGCCACGCGAGAACATCACCCGGAGGCACGGAGGGTGCTGGGGTGAGCACTGGAGCCGGTGGCCTGGTCCGAACCTCGGCTTCATTCCTTCTTCAGCACGTGACCTTGGGCAAGTTCCTGAAGGAGCCTCTGCCACGTGGCACCAAAGATTAAGTGATAATCTTACCAGTTCTCACTTCCTAGGGCGGTTTTAAGGATGATGTGAGCTCATAGAGGTGCTTGGCATACTGTGAATGGCTTCAGGCGTGGTGATTCTCTCACCCCGGGCAGGGGAGTTATCTGACTTGCTTCCTAACTTCTGCATCTGAATAGCTATCACTGAGAAGTCTGGGGTGGGTCCCAGATGGTCAACAGCTTAGTCTCGGGGAGTCTTGTGTTCTGACTCACGGGAGACACCTGGACTCTGCTCCGTGTTTGGAAGGTTGCTTACTCCGTACACCTGCTGTCACCTGGCTGGGAGGATGGAAAGTCACCCTGCACATCTGACTGCCGAGCCCGAGTGTGTCCTTGCCAATGACAGAATGAGTTTAAGGATGGGTGCTCTGACTTCCACGTCCCTTGCTGGGGCGCAATTCTGGGCTGTTAGCACAGTGACCCCAGCGGGCCGTCTCACTTCCCCGTGCCGTAACTAGCTGAACAACGCACTCCTCCCCACTTCCCTTTCCCCCTTCTCCGTCTCATGCTCCTATTTCCCTGCCAGCACGCTGCAGGATTGCCTGAGATCCTTCATTCTGGGTCTCTGTCTGGGGGACCCTCAGACGCTCGTGGACGCGTGCCTCTCTGCAAGTCCAACAGAAGCCAAATGAAGTGCAAGGTCACACGCTACCTGTGTGCAGTCGCAGCCGTCTAGACAGCCACGCAGGTCCAAGCACATTTTTGCTTGCCTGAATTATTTGGGTTGGCTTCCCCAGGCAGTGCTGGACTCCCTCCAAGATTCTTCCAGCCCCCGCTTTCCTTTCGTCTTGGAGACTTAACCTCCGAAGCTGGCAGCCTCACATGGGAACAGCACGGGGTTCTGCGAAGGCCGAACATGGACTGTGGCTGTGAATGAACTCAGGGTGGAGAAGCAGCTTTCTCTCTTTCTCTCGCCAAAACAGCGAGGCCGTCCATCACCTCTGAGCCCAGCGGTGAGGCACTCACTCTTATTTTCGTGGAATCAAGGCCATTGTCACAGGTGAGCTGTGGACACAGGGTGCGTGTCTGTACCTCACAGAAGGGCTCCAAGTTATTCCCGTGCTCAGCAGAGCTGCTGTGATTTTTGTGTGCATGTGATGCCCCATCATTGGGAGGAGTCTGTCGGGCAAGCAGATGGAGGTCAATAACACGGATCTCAAGATCAGAGGTGGGAGGTTGATTCCACAACAGGAGCCCCTCCCGCCTCTCTGGTCCCGTCAACAAGAGAGGAAGGGATAGGAGCCTGCAGCTCAGCACTGCAAAAAAAAAAATGAGAGAGGCTGGATTTCAGGAGAGGAAGAAGCCGATGGCATAGGAAATAAAGGAGAGCGAGGACCCAGGGCTTGACTCACACCAAGGACTGAGCTGAACAAGCGCAGGATCACACCACATGTCTCCCTCTCTCTCTATCTCCCTCTCTCCCTCTCTGCCTCTCTTCTCTCTGGCAGATGAGATTTGGCCCAAGCTAATCTGACTCCCAACTTTGATCTTGCCCATTTAGAAAGCCAGGCTCAGAACAACCACGAACTGTAACCTTTCTGATCGCCCTGTGCTGTGTCCAGCAGTGAGCATCTGTTGTGACCCTGCCACGCTCAGAGGCGCATGATGGATCGCCGAGCAGGCGGCCTCCTGCCTGCGTGCACTGCGACTGTTTTGCCTGCCTGTGTTTTGACTCGCCACATTCAGTGTTTCAGCACGTGTCTTCTGCAGAGTTTCTGCTTCCCGTTGACCTCCCTCGTCCCTGCGTCCTCCGGCTGGTGACACAGTCGCAGCCTCCCAGCTGGCCTCTCTGCCTGTGGGTCACTGGAATAAGCTTTGAAACGTGACTTCCACGATGGCATCTCTGAGGCAAAAGTTGGTGCCAAGTGTTTCTGCCATCACTAAGAAGCAGAGAGAGAGGACAGGGAGGAGAGAAGGAGACCCCAAATCTGAGCCCTGTCCTGCCACAGTCCACTGGGGGATGCTGGGCAAGTCACCTCTCTCTTTGAGCCTCAGGTTCTGATTTGTAAAATGGAAGAATGCGATGGGGGCTGAGGGCCCCGGAAGTGGCTCCCCACAGGACCATTACCCAGTCATTAATGCTGTCATGGTTCCAAGCGCTGGGGAGAGAGCCTCGGATAAAAACAAGTGTGGCTGTCACTGAGCTCACTTTCCAACATGGGGACCTGACGCTAAACCCACACGTCGGGCAGGCAGGTGCCAAGCACAAAGGGTAGATGGGGAAGAAGAGTGGCACTCTATTAACTGTGCGACCAGAGAGGGACTCCAGGTGAGCTGCAAAAGTGGGTCCCAGGGAAGGGAGGGAGAGCCCTGGGGACATGTGGGGTAGAGCCCTGCTGGCCGAGGGGCAGCCTGAGCATGGACCTTGGCCTGAGAGCCAGCTTGGCATGTAGGCTGGCAAGGCTGGAGGGGACTCAGCTAGAAAGAGACGACGGTGGGTGGTGACAGCCTGGTGGCACTGAGGGACAGACGCCCCACAAGCTCCTCAGGCCTTCCTGCTGCCTGTGTCTGTGAGGTCAGCAAGCGTGGAAGGCCCACGCTGTGCAGGCTGAGCTGGCCGTGGACCGGAGGCCTCAGATGGGGCAGGAAGGCAGAACAGAGAAGCTCCCTCTCTCTGGCTCTTCCTTCCACACCGTGGTGCTTTTCTCCTGTGGCTGCCCTTAGATGTCAGGCCCAGGTTCTTTGGCCTTTGCCTCCAAGATTCACACCTCTGGTCCTCCCAGGGCTCCCGGGCCCTTGGCTTTGGATAGGAGGCTTCCAGCCCTGAGCCAGGGCACCAACTTCTCTTTCTCCAGAGTGCAGGCAGCCTCTGTGATTGTGTGACCCAGAGCTCTGACAGATGAACCTCCATCCATCATCCATCCATCCATCCCATTGGTTCTGTTTTATGGAGAATCTTGAGTAACACACGAATCAGGGAGATCCATTAGGAAACTTCAGCGAAGTCTGATCAGACCTGGTGTCAGCTGGGATCAGGGTGGAGCTACGACGGGAAAGGACCAGATGTGAGGTAACACAGACAGGGTTTCCTCACAGATTCAGAGTGGGGAGAGGAACACTCAAGGCAAAGGCCGAAAAACATTCGCTGTCACCTACAGAGGCTTGGAATCACGGGGAGGAGAAGGGTCACGGGTTCGGGAGGGTCCAGCAGCCTGTGGAGGCACAGTGCACAGCTCTGAACTTAGTGCAGAGTGAAGGGAGGAGGACTGGGCTGGAGACACCGCCGGTGACCCCCAGAACTCCTGTGGGGACAGCGGACAGGACAGGGCCTGGCGCACCAGCCTTCATGAGAGGAGAGAAGGGAAGACTCCAGAAAGGAAGGGCAACCTGCAAGAGGGGAGGAGGGCCGAGAAACAGGCTTCCCGGCATGGGAAGGGGTGGGGGCCTATAAGAAGGAAGCGATTAGCAGGGTTTAGCAGGGGAAATGACCACTGGGACTGGCACTGTGGGGACACCTGGTCACCTTTGTCAGAGGCTCCAGTGGAGTGGGTTGTGGAGGAGGTGAAGGGCTTGGGAGCCTTTGGTGCCCTCCAACCACAATTTAGACACACACACGTGCACACACACATGCTCTCATGAGTGGCGCCCAGAGCTATAGAGAAAAGATACTATAAAGTCGTCTTCCTCGTTTTTTGTTTCTGTACTTTATAGGAATCTGTGGCTTTTCCTCTAATCAGTCAAAACAATTCATCTTGCTTCACGAAGTACTGAAAATGTTACAGCAGCCACTGAAAGTGAGACAACTCAAAGTTTAGCTTTAAGAGGTCAAAATCCACACCACAAACACTAATACAGAAAGCAGAAGACTTGGATCTGGAAAGCCCAGATTTACCAAAAGCAAACCGAGCTTTGATCACGAGGGAACGGAGAGCAGAATGGAGACTCTGTGTGAGAATCCGAGCTGCAGGGCAAAGAGGAGCCCAGGACTGATGGTCACCACACTCGGAGGACAGGGTGAGGGCAGCGTCCCCTGCAGCTGCCTCTTCTATGAGCATCGGGCACCAGCATCAGGCGGGGAAGCCCATGTCTGAGGAGGTTCCAGCACTGTCCTCTGTCCCTCCACTTCCGCGGGGCTCTCCAGCTAGAAAGACGGCACTCACGCACCAACACTGTGCGGAGTCCCAGTGTCTCTGCCCTACGGGGGCGTGTGTACTGCTTTTAACAACCAAGGAGCCTTTCAAGGGTCTCCTGAAATAGATCACCAATGAGGACGGGATGTCCTCGATACTCCGGAAGGAAATGTCTGTAGGTCTCGGGCAGATCTGAGACTCATCCATCCCCATTACAAAGATGTCCTCTGAATAAACCTTTCTGCCCCTAAAGTGCTTGGGAAGACTTCTGGCTTCACACGCAAAGCAGCAAAGACTAGAAATTTTCACTCTAATCTTTCAAGTAATAAAATATTGAGCAAACGGAAGAGGAAAGACTTTTCTTAGACGCATCAGAGAGCTGAAATATGGAGAGCTCCTTGGGGATCCCAAAGACAGCCACATGAAGAGCAGTGGATTAGAGGGATGGGAGTCAAGCATCTGTGGCCCTAGGGATGGACGTCCAGTTCAGTCTGCCCTGTCCATCTTCCCACAGAGGCCTGGGTACCTTCCATCCTGTTACCTATTCCAACATACCCAACTTTCTACAAAAAGTTACAAAGCATGCTAAAAAGGCAAGAAAAAAGCTCATTACATTAAAAGTCACATTAAGCATCTTAGGTACAAAAACCCAAAATTTTGGAAGTTACCAACAAGGTGATTGAAGTCACTTCTGCGGTGCTGAATCTTGAAATCGTGTGACCTTGGAAACCTGCAGGAAGCTGCCCTTCACTGCTGTGTTCTTTCACCCAGAGACACACGACCCGAGTCCAATTTGAGGGAAACGTCCTCTGTGACCATCCCGGGGGAAAGGCTACACCTGACCAAGATTCTTCAAAACTACCAAGGTCCCCCAAAACAAGAAAATCTGAGATACTGGGTGAGAGCATTAGGGTTGCTGCGTTGGGTCAGCCTGAGAAGTCTAGACGCTGAGCTGGCTCAGCAGTCCTATCTGGGGTGTAGAGGACGGCCCTCACCACCGCCGGACGCTGTTCATTGTGTCCACTGGAGACGTTTAGACGGTCAGTAGGCAGAGGGACATGGTCCTCACTTGGTAAACATGCTGGCCTGTGCCAGAGGGGGGCACACAGACGGTGTGGACGGTACCCGCAGACCGTAACAGGGAGGGAAAGGCTCGTTCCCCACCTTGGGCTCCTGCTGCTTTGCTGTCTTCCGCCTCCCTGAACAGTTTCCCTGTACCACCCCGCCCTGCCTTGCGCCAGCTGATTAGGGACTGAAACCTCCCCAACCTGTGAGCTAAATGAACTTTTCCTGCCTTAAGTTTGGGTGCTGGATGTCCCAGCGACAAGAGAAAAGTAGCCAAGACGAAGAGGGACAGGGAGATGTGACTATTAGATTAATGTGGTGCTGTCAATTAATGGGATCCTGGGACAGAAAAAAGACATTAGGTGAAAACTGGAAATCTGAAAAAAACAATGAGCTTTAGTTAGTAATTATTTATGAACACTGGTTCATTGTTAACAAGAATACCAGGCAAATGTCTAAATGTTAATAATATGGGAAACTGGGTGTAGGGTTTATGAGAACTCTTGGTACTATATTTACAATTTTCCTGTAAATCCAAAGCTGTTCTAAAAATAAGGTAAAAAAATATTTGACAACGTCTGGGCCACTGATCACTGGAGTATTTTTAGCTTTAATAAAACTCGTGTTTTGTTTTGACTGTTCCATCTAGGAAACCCAGAGGCCCAACTTCTCCACGATCCACTCCAAGAACCCCGGAGTGAAACAGGACCACAGGGCATGCACCCTGGTGCCACCCACGGAATTCCAAAGGCGGGCACTGTCACTTATTAGCTGCGTGACCATCAGCAGGTTCCTGCATGGCTCCAGGTCCCAGTTTTTCACCTGTACAATGTATAGATTAAAAATAAGAATATCTGGCTTATAATTAACTGATCAGAATTACATGGATCAGTCCCTGTGCAGTGCTTGTAACGGAGTGTGGGGGGCCGTGAGAACCACACAGGGAAACAAGTCGAAGACAGTCACCTGAAATCGGTCAGCCAGGGGCAGCAGCAGGGAGGTGGACAGCGTATGGCAGTTTGTCAGCTGTTTTTCCAAACAAAACAAAACATAAATCCCCACAGTTTTGCTGAACATTTAATACCAACTGAGCAAATTTTATTTGTCTGGGTTTGTGCCAATGACTTCATGTGTATTTAATACATGTAGTCACAGCGTCTTTTTATTTTTATTTATTTATTTTTGTGCTGCTGGGTGTCAAACCTAGGGCTGTGCGCATACAGGCAAAGGCTCTACTGCTGACCCACATCCCCAGCCCTAGGTCACAGTTTCTGATGCTTCCCCTTCTTTTATTTTAACAAGCATGAAAGTCTGTGCAGCCCATACTGAATCTCCCTGGACCACCCCTGAACCCAGGCTGCTTCAAAATGCCCCTGTTTCCCTGATGTGAGCGGGTCTTACCTCTGAATTAAAGGACAATGGTCTTCAGCCTGGTTCTGCTGTGAACCAGCCTGAGCACCACGTGGAAAGCTGTTTCCACATTCCGCTGGCCTTCTCTGGTCTCCCTGAGCTGCTTTTGCTGATCACTTCCTAGGAATGAAGTGTCACCTCCAGGGATGTGGTCCTGATCCTACTCTGATGATGTGGCTCGAAGGAAGTGTAAAGTGGAGAGCCAGGAAAGACTGGCTCCCCACCACTGCATCCCTCCCTCTGGGACAAGGCTGCACCCCCTTCCTAGCCGTAAACCTCAGCTGAGGGTCCTCCGTCCTCACATCCCACTCTGCTAGTCTCGGTGTCTGGAAAGCAATTCAGATGTGTGCACTGTTTAAAGCTGCCCAGAGGGAAAATAAAAAGTCACCATCAAGTGTGGAGACTAGACTACAGGGTGTCTCATATCCTGGTTTCAAACGCAGATGTCCAAGATTCAGAAAATATGGCAACAAAAGCATCACTGTTGGAGTAAGTGACAGTGACCATGGTGACTGTCCCACCAACACTCCTGTTGGCACCTGATCCCCAGTGTCACCTGTGAGTGGTGTTTGGAAATGGGGCCACTGAGGAATGATTAGGAAGATGACGTCATGCAGGTAAAGCCCTCCCGATGGGGCTTATAAGACGCTGGGCATGGTGACCATGCCTGGAATCCGAGTGCTCTGGGAGGCTGAGGCAGGAAGATCAAATGTTAAAGCCCAGTCTGGGCAACTAGGTGACTGCATAAAAAAATGAAATAAATGAAGAAGGGACTGAAGAAGTCACTCGGTGTGAACACCACAGTTTCCAGTCCCACTGGAAGCTTTAATAACTGAGCTCCGTTCTTGCAACTTGGTCATATGCGGCATACAGATGATAATATTCAGGACCAACTTCATGGCTTTGCATTTATTTTTGGATACCGGGAATCGAACTCAGGACCTTACAATGGCTGGGCAGGTGCTGTGCAGCTGAGCTAAATCCCCAGCCCTGTGACTTTACTGTTGCAGGCATAACTCTTACCTGCAGTCCTGTAATCTGTAAGAGAACATAAAACTGCAGAACTGTACTGTGAGGACAGTCAGCAACAAGTACAGTGCTATGTAAACAAGGTGTGCTGTGCATGAAAGACACCGAGGCTCTACACTGGAGCACAGGAGCGCTCAGAAAGCAAGGAAAAGCCCCGTAATGCATCCAAGCTGTGGGTGTAAGTCCAGTCATTAAACAGGCTGGTCGTTAAGCAAGGTGAAAATATACTGTCCAAAAGCAGAAGAAAAAGGAGGAAGAGGGAGAGGAGAAGGAGAAGGAGGAGGAGAAAGAGGAGGAGAAGGCTTCCCGCAAGCCAGGAGAGGCCAGGTGAGCTCTGGTGGGGGAGGCACCACCTCCCGGAGACCCGGTGGGCAGGAGAACGGAGCTGGGTGAGGCCTGGCTGATGGCCTGACTGCATTTTGATGTGAATGAGAGATGGAGGAGGAAACGGTGATGCAAACAGTGTGCCCGAATGATCCAACCTTAGAACTGGGTCAGAAATCGGCACCAGGTTCCTGTCGGGTGGAATCTATCGGACGAACGCCAGTGCTGTGACTCCATGCTAGAAATGCTGTGTAATGCAGAATATTCTAGGAGATGTTTTGCAATACAGTAATAATGAAATACCAGTAAAACATTCTGTATGCATCCATAATGACACTCAAAAACACATTGTCATGACACCTCGCCATCTTCATGGCAGAACCTTAATCATTCTAACCGCCAGAATCTAAAGGATTTACAGAGACATGACAGAAAAGTGACCCTGAGATTTTTATAATAATGTCATTCAAGAGATTTGGTTTCCTTCAAAATTGCCTACATTGTGACGGCAAAAAAAGACTTGCCAAGAAACAAATCCAACAATTTGATGCTGTTCACTCATTTGTTGAAAACTTTGTTCCAAACCATCAAGAAATTTGCACACCGTCTGACTCCATGACAACTGACCAACGGCTCACATCCTTTCACAGGTGACAGAGCCTTCGGCGATGGGTGCCAGGTAAACCTTCCAAACAAGCTATAAAATAAATGCCCTGGTAGATGCGGAGACAGCTTACACCTTGAATTTAGAAATTTATGCCAGAACTCAGCCACCAGGTCTTTATGCGTGCAGTAATAAACCATATGACATTGTGAACAGACACTGACCAACTTCAAAAACTAATCCCAATGTCACCTTGTTACCCACGAGTTACCCACTGTGTTACACTTGCTAAAAGAACACCGCTCACCAGCACAGGAACTGTTCCTAAGAACAAAGCCAAGATTCCTGAAACAGCGTCGCAGGAGCACAGTACAATCTTGGCATTTCAGAAAGACATAACATTGGCCTCTCGAGTGGTGAAGAAAAACAAAAATCACTGTTGGTACTGTGATTGACTGTGAGGCTGGGTGTGGTGGTGTAATCTCAACATGCGGGAGGCTGAGGCAGGAGGATCCTGTGAGTTTAAAGTCAGTCTGTGCTACATAGTTCAAGGCTCATGTGTATCAAGACCCTGTCTCAAAACAAACAAAACTGATAACGAGTCTTCAACAAAAATGAAGCCAGCATGGTCACATTTTACAGCAAAACAAAAGATAAAACAGATGTTGTTGACAAGTTATGCACTGACCTTGACGTCACCTAAAGACAAAGCATTGACCTGGCTTTGGTTGTGTTTTATTCATCCCAAGCGTGTCAGGCATAAATTGTTTCACAGTTTACAAAGAAAATAACAAGCAGAAAACATCACGGAGAAATTTTCTTACTTGGTGGCTGGAATTGGGGAAGGAGGAGGAACGGTATGCCTCTCCCCAAAGAGCTCTGTAAAGAGCTCCAGAGCTGGAGCCGAGCGTGGGCAGCCGGGGGCAGCACCACCAGGACCCCTCAGAGAACGGGAAGGCCTCAGGAGGTCGGGAGTGTCCCCAAGGAGGACAGGGAAACAAGGCACGTGCGGGCAGCGCAAGGAGACCTGTGCAGGACGGCGTCCTTGGCACTGTGGAGGCTGCCTCAGGGGTGACGGTCGAGGCACGACTGTTTCTGTGCCAGAGCGCACTGGCATCTTCGCTGTGGTTCACACAGATTTGCTTCCGCTGTTATTTTTCAGGTCTTGTGAGCAGGAAAGCAGGTGGTGTTGGAGATGTTGCTGTGTGTTCTTAGCACTCATTACATATAAAAATGGGGCATCTTGTGCCGCTGACATTTTGCTTTTCTCTCAAGTACACATTGTTTAATACCATAAAACTCATAAAAGGTAAAATTAATAATTCATCAGTAGAAATACTCCTAAAAAATAAATGTGGGTGTGATCCGCCCTTCATAACGTGCTTTTCCAAACCTGCAGTGGTGCCCGCAGGGCTGCGAGCCGGGTGCGCCTGTGCACACACAGGGCATTGGGGGAGCGCTCCCAGCCCCGCAGTACCTGTGGGTGACAGATGTTATTGGAAGTTGCACCCAGTACACACTCGGAGTATGGATGTTGGCTTTTATAGGCTCTGAGTTCTCCGGCCCGCTGGAGTTGCCCTGTCCTGAGAAATGTAAGTGACACCTCCAGGAACACCATTCCACACAGTATGAGATCCCCAGTGCTTCCTCCAGCCCCTGAGATGCCCAGGGGCTCCCTGGGTATTTAGGATTCTCTGGACTGAGGGCCTTGACTGCATGCTTGACTGCTTGCTGAGTCTTCCCCGAGCTGCACCCTGCTCTCTTACAACTCTGTGGGTACCAAGGTGACCGTTTCCAAGTGTGCCAGAGCCCCGCCTCCACCAGGAGATCCCGGGGAGTAGGCGACTTCTGGGGGTGAGGGCCTTGGGCTTGCGGGGTGGGGCTCCACCACCGGAAGTGGTGGGAAGGTGAGTGGCTACTGCTAAAATCGCCCTGGCCCACACAGCCCTGCTGGTCCACTGAGGACCCCATGGCACCCAGAGAAGAGCACACCTTCCTGGGGATCTTTATCATCAGCTGCTGAGAAGCTGTGAAAGTGACTGTGAACAAGGCGCTGCCTCTCTCCCTGGAGTCACACAGCGTGTGACAGGTGGTGGCTGCCCATCTACCAGGGAGCATCTCTCTGGTCACCTCTTCTCCTCGGGCTCAGCCTTGCTAGATCTGAATGTCAGAGTCTCTGTCACCCCTGTCGCTTTCTTCCACTGACCTCTCTGTGTCCTCTGTCCCCATCCTTTCATTCCCTTCCTTTCGTGATTCCTTGGAGAGCTTTATAGTCTCACTGTCTTACACAGAACTCTGCATTTCCCGGTTCTCTCTCCTGCACAACCCACCCGCACCGGTACAAATTTACCCTTCCTCAACGGAAGTGGCCCATCCTGGTAGTTTCCCTTGATTTCCTGAAGGTTTTTCCTTCGTGGGACCTGTGGAGCTCATGGTCCTGAGAAATCGCTCCAGGATCCAGGGCGCTTTAGTTCCTTGGGTCCTCCTGGCTGCTGAGCCCATTCACAGGATGCAGTGGCTCAGAATGAGGAGTCTCCGTTTTTCCACAAGGCGTGAGCTTCTGTGCCTGGAAATAGAGCACTATAACCTCGCATGTCTCCCCACGGGATGGTGCTAAACACATCTGTGCTTTAAAAACCAGCACACAAACAAGACAAGTAAAACACATGACTCAATCCCACAGCAAGCCTTCAGCCTGGACCCGGTCATCCAGGGAGCATCAATCCCACAGCAAGCCTTCAGCCTGGACCCGGTCATCCAGGGAGCATCAATCCCACAGCAAGCCTTCAGCCTGGACCCCGGTCATCCAGGGAGCATCAATCCCACAGCAAGCCTTCAGCCTGGACCCGGTCATCCAGGGAGCATCAATCCCACAGCAAGCCTTCAGCCTGGACCCGGTCATCCAGGGAGCATCAATCCCACAGCAAGCCTTCAGCCTGGACCCCGGTCATCCAGGGAGCATCAATCCCACAGCAAGCCTTCAGCCTGGACCGGGTCATCGACGGAGCAACAGGTCGGGCTTTGAAAGCAACCTCAGGGAAACACGGCCGAAGTCCTCTCCATGAGCTAAGTATGCTGAATCCGGGGAGGGAGTGAAATCTTTTCCCAGGTTTCCCAGGAGAGAAAACCAGAAGACTGAGAGCCTGTGAGAAATAACAGATACTTTATCAAGCGTTTGATGGGGAATAGAGGCGTGATGGGGGTAGAAGGGTTTTAAAAACTAATAAAAATATTAAGGCATTTGGATTGGTTTTTGAACCATAGCAGTCTAGGGCTACAATGGACCAGGAAAAGCTCCTAAAACTCCCCCACTTCAGAAACAGTATTTGCAGTCACAGGCAGGATATCGTTCATTGTGCCTGGTGCAAAGTTAAACCTGGGGGCTCCCTGTCCAAATACTACTGAGAATTTAAGACGGAAAGAGCAGACCACGGAACACATATGGGACATTTGCAAGCACGGGGCTTGATGGGGCTGCTGGGTCCTACACTAAGGAAGCCTCCCTGGCCAGCCCTCCGATCTACACTCCACGTGTGATGTACGCAGCCTCTGCACGGGAAATCAAACTTGAGTTTCACAATAGCCCCGGGAGTGGCATGAGTGTGGTCTTTATTTTAAAACATTCCCACACAGGGATGAGTTATCAGCCGTGACACTGATGGAATCAAGTGCCCTCTGCGTCATTGCTGTTTCATATCATGGCACTTGGTCATCTATTACAGCAGGCGCGACCGGGCTAATTTGCTCATGGATTTTTCATTTAGTGACTCCTGCAGGCCGAGCACTTTGGTGAGCATTTAGATAGACATGGACTGTGAGTTCATGAATCAGCACACTGAGAATCAGGAAAGCGAAGGCAGACTTTGGAGCCGGCTGTGCTGTAGGGCTCATCACTGACTGACCGCTCGATGGGCCTGCTAGTCCTGGAGACTGGACGCATGGCAATTTTTTTGAGACGGGATCTTGCTAAGTTGCTAAGTCTCACGGACTCCATCCTGACCCCCTCCTGCTGCAGCCCCCAGAACGCCGGGGCTGCAGGTGTGTGGCGGCACACCTGCTTGTGATGCTTTTAAAAACTACCATCGCCTTTGATATGAGCTACAAATTAAACCTCAAATTGTCTGTCAAGTTACCGAAAGGCAAACTGACAAGCAAGTCACTAGATCACGGCACTTCCTTTCCTGTCCTCTCCTCATCGCCTCTGCTGCAGCGCCCTCCCCATGGCAGGGGCCTGGCCACTCACTGGACTCCCCGAGTTCTCCCCGCCTGGCCTGCTGTGCAGATGGCCCAGGCCATGGACCGAATACAAGACTACAGAGTAGCCTATCCCAGGCAGGGCAGGGAAAGTTCCTTCCTGACTCTGCCTTTTCCAGCGACTTCAGAAGCCTCGTGCGGGGCACCCGAATCGCAAGGTGGATGGAGCACAGGGACTCCCCGAGTCTCTAAGAGGGGAGTCTCCCTGGAGAGAAACGGGACTTCAGGGGGACTTGAACAAAATGGGCTTCCTCGTAAAAGCCGCTGATCTGGTGCTGGCCACCGAAGCTGATCCTAGCACTGCCCCAATAAGCCTGCTCCACGCACGCATCCCCGCTCATGCGTGCCTGGTCCGCTTTCGTCTTCTGACCCTCGGGAATGGTAATGTGATTCAGACTTACGAAGCCTTCAAAATTCTTCCTGCTTCTCCGGAAAGCTTCTGATTGCTGGCTGAATTCTGTTTTCACCACCATTTGATTTTATTTTAAAGACAGACAGGTCTGAACTTAAATCCTGAAGAATTAACAACAGTCAGGAGCTCTGATTGTCACTAGATCTTTCTCAGATAAAAGAATTCAAGGGGAAAAGTGGGTAAACACTACAGTGATAAGTAGGGGTTGTCTATCTCACTAACCAGGCACCTGCTTGGGAGGAAATTGTAACAGCGAAAATGTTTTAGCAACTTGTTTTCTTTAGTCGTTGATGAACACGAAAAGCTGAGACTCCCAAGCGTAACCATAAATCTAACATCTGAACAGCAAAGTAAATTTTACTTTAAAAAAAAAAATAATAACAAAATATGATCATTTCCTAGTCCTGATGTTGACAGCATACGGGAAGGATGGATTTTCCCCAGGCAGGGATCCTCCTCGAAGGCCACGCACGGGGCCAAAGAGGTCCTCCCGGCGGCTGGCCTCTTCACGTCCCTTCATCTGTGTGTCAGTAGGGGCACAGTTTGTGTGGCAAAATACCACCAATTGAGAGGTTCAAACCACCGAGATTTATTTTCTCACAGTTTGGGAAGCTATAAGTTTACGGTTAGGTCAACATGGAGAGAGCGCCCTTCTTGTACGTGGCCACCAACCATGCTTATTACACAGCCTCTTCTCTGTGCAGAGAGACAGACAGACAGACAGAGACAGAGACAAGAAGAAGGAGGAGAAGGATCTCACTGCTGGAAACTACAGTCACCACAGTGGTGGGGCTGCAAGGTGGTGAGCTGGTATTTACATCAGTGACTTCCGGGGGGCTCCCAAGGGGGGTCGCCTTGTTCCCATCACAATGATGGGGCAGCAAGATGGTGACTGAAGGGTGCTCTGTCTTCCCCAGCAGTGACACGCATCACTCCAACAAGATTTCATTGGCCAGGCAAACCAGGTCAGGGAAGTGTAACCCTCTCCTGTGCCCAGAAGGAGGAGCACTGGAAATATTCGTGTGCATGTGTGTGTGCATGTGTGTGCATATGTGTGTGTGATACCCAGAGCCATATGAAGGTCCTCAGAAAAACCAGTCATTCCCCGAGGAGATGGGGCCTTTGAAAAAGGAAACTTCATTAGTCAGCTTCCTGTCCCTGGGACGTCTCCCCAGCACCCATACCTCAGAGGCAGAGGATTTGATTTGGGTCCTGGCTTCAGGGGATTCAGTCCATGGTCAGCTGGCCTCCAAACATGAGCAGCACAGCAGAAGATTACAGCAGAGCAGAGGTGCTGAGCTCATGGCATCTTATCGGCAGAGCAGAAAACATCAGAGAGGGTCAGCGCCAGGGGCCAGATACAGACCCCAGGGTTGTACCTCCATGACCCACCCAGGTACACCAAAAGCATGCTCCACAATCGGTCACCAGGCCACTCCCAAGCCACACCAGTCGACACAGCCCAGTTTAACCATCACAGAAGCTACCACCATGCTTCCCTACCTCCACTAGCAAAGGTCTGTTCAGTGCCTACGAATGTGTGGGGAGCAGGGACTGTCCTAACCTCCACACTCCAGTGCCAGCAGAATCTCTCAGTCAGTGTGATGAGAAAAATAGCACAGAGGTCCAGTCTGAAGCAGGTAAAAGTATGGTAGAAAACTCTTTCTTGTTGGCTTTAATGGTGGAGGATTTAAAAAACCATGCTGGTTTTGGAGAGAAGAATTCATCTTTCAGCAGCTGTGGTGCGGGAAGCATCTGGGGACCAAGGAAAGACAGTGAGTCTCTCTCCTGCTCCCCAGATGAGTCCTGGAATGCTCACAGCAAGGCCATCCTCAGAGCTGCTGGGAACCTCAGAAAACCACACACCCACCTGGCTTGTTTTTCAGGCAAATAATCAGGACCTTGGGCAGGGAAAATACAAAGGTGCCCCCTTCTCCATCACCTTAATGACACCACCCTCTGTCTTAGCATGGGCTCAGTAGAATAAACTGGGTGATTTACAAACAGCAGACATTTATTTCTCAGCTCTAGAAGTTGATCAGAGTGCCAACATTCTGGCACTCAGAGGAAGAGGATTTAATTTCAGTCTTGGCAGGTGACCATGTTCTGATTTAATACATGATGGAAAGACAGCGAGATGGAAAAGAGCGCTCTGGGGTCCTTTCTTGAGGGCACTAATCCCAGTGGTGGGGCCCCACCCTCCTAACTCAATCACCTCCCAAAGGCCCAGCCCCTAGTGTCACCACAGCATAGTTTGGGGCTCCTATGTGAAGCTGCTGAGGGGGTCGTAAACCTTCAATCCATTGTTTCCTTCCTCCAGCACGGACCCCCACATCTCCTACTCTACACCTGCCTCTCCTCCACTTTGGATCTGGTTGGAAGAGGAAGGGGGAGGGGAGGGGAGCAGAGGGTGAAAAGCACTTACAGAAAGGGAAGGTCAAAACTCCAGAAGTGGTTCTGTTAGATGTACGAATTTGAGCCACTGAAGAAAGACCTGTAGGACAGCAGACTTCTGGACTGGTCCAAGCAGGAACCGGACGAACAACTCCCCTGGGAAGCCCCCCAGAAGTCAGTGATGGAAACACCAAGCAGTACTATCACTATTCATAGATACAGAGTACAGAAGTAGCAGCCCAAGAGTTTGGCGAAACTACAGGAGAATGAAGGCAGGAAATGGAATTTTAAGCATCAACAGAACTGTTGGTTTCCTCTTCCCCTTTTAAAATGATGAGATGGGTTTTTCAAAGGATGAGAAAGTCCTTACTTTGCCAGAGCGGTTAGGTTCTCCAGATGTCAGATCACCTGCTCCGGCATTTCAGTCACGACTTACAAATTCATCTCATCTAAATCCTCACTGAGGCTCGAAAGCCTTGGTCCCTGTGTCAGAATTGAAAGCTATAAAATCACTCGGTGGTTCCCCTCCCGGGCCGGAGACGGTGCTGCAGGTCTCGGCAACATTCAGAGGAAATGCGCTCTGCTTCGGAGCTGCCTCAGAATTTCCATAAAGGAGCTGGAGATGTGATCCCTCGGTGCCATCGGGCTCATTTCTGTGGAGCATTTTAGGGGGCACACTGGGGAGTCTGGGGGGGTCTCACTCTTGACTGTGTCATCTGGTGTGTGGACATCTGGGTTTCCCTCTGCATGGATGAGCTCAAGGTTGGGGACAGCTGAGCTGGGGAGCCTCAGCCTCCTCTGCCACTCCCCGGGCAGGCACACCTGCAGCTCAGGAAGGAAGCACCACCGTGGGAGGTGCACGTCCTCGATGGACAAGGTTCATCCCTCTTGTGTGCAGCTGCAGCCAGCCAGTGTGTCAAGAGAGATGTGTGCCATGGGAGAGAGACGGCTTGTTTTGTTTGAGGACATCTTGTTCCGATTTTGGCCTAACTTCATTCCTGTGCCCAAATGGATCATCTTGGGGTGACAACCAAAAGAGTCATGGAGAAGCTGGCTCTGCTTGGAAGATTTTGTCTGAGAAAATGGGAAGACAACAAAATCCAGGGTGCCCCGGTTCATGAACTTGATTCTTTCCACAGTTCTAGTTGAAAACTGAATCAAAGGTTCAGTGTTGACTTCATGGGGAATTCGATTTGCATCTCGTCCTGTTTATTTTACGACCAGAATTGTGGAAGGAATTAAGTTCATGAATCGAGGTGGCAGTGTATTCACCTCCTTGTTTAACCCACTATTGGGTAGGCGCATCCCTGGTCAGAAGTGTTTCTGACCAGTAAACCTGCCTTCTGTGTAAGTAAGAGCGTCATGCACTTTTCAAACTGTCTGCTAGGGTGGTCTTTAAATGTCCCTCCAAAGGGGGCGGGCCTTTGCAAGGCAGCTGAGTCAAGCGTTTGTGATTGGTTGGTTGTCTAGCGCCGGGATTGGCGGTGTGAGCATTGCGCCCGCCCAGGGGCGGAGCCAGCACACTATATAAGGGGGGGGGAGGTGGCGGAGGCTTGCTCCTCCCTTTCCACCCTTTACCCTTTTGCAGCTTGGTGCCGCCATGAACAGCTGCCCCTCAGCCTGCCTTGCAGCCAGCTGAGTATGGACTGAAACCTCCAGGAACTGTAAGCTAAATAAACCTTTCCTTCCTTCATGGTGGGCATGGGGCATTTTACAACCAAGGCACTGTCCTTTTCCTAAGAAGTAGGGAGCGGAATGAAGCATTATTTTAATTCTGGGAATTCCGATGGACTCAGTTTTATTTACTTATGTATTTATTTCTTGGACTCATTTTTTAAAATTCCTGTGATGCTGAGCTCGGGGCAGCCTGGTGGCTACTGTATTTGAGGAGTCAACATTCATGTGGTTTCTGTTTACTAAAGCATTAGCAGAAACTTATACTGAAATATATACCACCATATAATCCATCCCAGATGTGTGATTTTATTTTCAGAGGAGGAAAAAAGATATTTGGAGGCATAAGTAGCCAAATAGCATTTTCTGTCCATCTGATTGAGCTTGGTGGTAATTCAGCAAAGGAAAACCATCAGCCTGCAATTAAAATGCACTGGGATTAAGACCTGGCTCACTTTGTATAAATCTAACAAGCGACCCTTGAGTCTTGCTCAGGACAGGATTACCCCATCTCCTCCTGGTTACCCCCCAAAAGACAAAGGCAGGGAATGACAGCCTCAGGGGTTTCGGACCCAAGACAGTGAAACTGGGATCCAGTCTGGGCTTGTTTTATTGTCCACATGATTGTCGCTTTCAAGTATTCCTAAAGCAGTTAAACTGCCTGTAAACAGAGCCTGAAAAGCGTTACTTTTCAAAAGCAAAAGCTGCTCTGCAGCAGAGAAGAGCCTGCTCCCAAATGGGTTCCCTGAGTGAATCGACAGTGATAAATGAACACGGCCGGTGGATGGGTTCAGACTCCCCGCCGTCATCACCCAGAAAGACCTCTGCTTCCTGCCAGCCGGGCATCGGGCAGCATGGTTGATGTGTCTCTCAGGGAAATAAATAAAAGTAGGAATCTTATCAACTTAGGGAGGAAAACACTCACTGGGAAAATAGGTGTGAAGCTAAGGTGGTTGTCCTTGGTTTGGGGTCCCGTTCTGAATGTTTGAGATCACCTGTGAGTCCACTGCCACATGACCGGGTGAGCAGGGACAGAAGCAAGTGTCCAACCATAGCTGTCCCATCAACTCGTCCTTCAAACCCTGCAGGGTGGATTGAGTGGCTCTGTGACCTTCAGGTCCTGCTGGAGGGGCAGCCAGAAATGGGGTGCGAGGGGGTAACTCAAACTTTCAGGTGGACACCAGCAAGCCTGTGCCCCGATGGACTGTTTCCTCTTTGTGATGCTCCTGCGGAGCTCTGGGCTGGGGGTGAGTACTGTCCTTTCTGTGCACTTCATTTCTGAGCAGGTAGAGAGTCACGGCTGGCAACACCCATGAGAGCTGGAGATGCTTAAACCTACTGCAAGTCAAGGAGGCCCAGCCCCCTCCTGGGGATGGCGGTCCGCAGAAGGAAGTCCAGGCAGTTAGGTCTTACTCTGCACGAGGTGTTTAAAACACCCTGCAGCTCCCACGAAAGCACACTATAAATGACTTTCATCTGCATGGGTCTGAGCCTGACACAGCCTGAAGTTGTTTTTTAGCAACATGGGAGATGAAGGAGAATTGAATCTACTCTCCACTGTGGAAGATATTAGCTCTGGTCCAAAAGTCAGGCCTTGGGAGACCTCAGAAATTACACTACAGCCACTTTATCCGTGCTAGGGGCTGTCCATGTGGAGACTGCCCAGCGGAAGGGGAGCGGAGGGAGAGGCTCAGCCTTCCCTCGGGAGCCAGAACGAGGAAGCCCAAGACTCACCCTGAAGCCACAGCACCGGATCCAGGGTCAGGGAAGGGTAAGAGGGCAGGGTCCTATGGGGCTGGCGGGCAGCTGGATGCCATCAGCACCCATCTGAGAGCCTGAGGGAGTGTTTACACTGCAGCTAATCGTGTGGGGCTGCTCAGGGGCTGCGAGTGAAGAGTGAGAATTCAGGGCTCCCCTTGAGAAGTCCCCACTCTCTTTAGCCACCAGGAGAGCGGCAGGGAACTCACAGGAGCTGAGCTCCTGGTCACCCTCCTGAGTCCAGCTGCCCCGGGGAAAGCCGCTGCTCACCAGAGGAACTAGCATACCTACCGCCCGTTGGCGCCCACTCCTTGGCAAGCCCACCTGTGATCGGTAAAGTGTGGCTGGCAGCACTGTCCACTGGGAGCAACGCTACTCACCAACTGCGAGGCCATGTCACATGCACACGATCCTGCTGTCCCCGGAGCTCCTCGGAGTGACCAGAGGTCTTGATTCCCATTTTCAAATGAGGAGCAAAGACTAAAGCAACCCACACAAGGGTGTGTGGTCATTAATGGCAGAGCAAGAATTTAAGCTCATCCTTGGGTTGGAGGTGTGGAAGCACACTGCCCCCACGTCGGGAGAGAGTGGGCTTTGGGAGTGGCCTCCGTTAGACCCTCCAGAAAGAACCAAGTCACCAGTCCTCTCCCGTCCCTGTCTCTCTCTCTCTGTCTCTGTCTCTCTCTTCCTTCATATGTATATGAAATATCTACCTGGTAGATCGATGTCTACAGAGGTTTATTGTAGCTGGCTCCCATGGTGGTTACAGAGGTGGAAATGTCCCAGTGTCTGCAGGCAGCAGTCTGGACCCAGGAGAGATGGGACAGATGATAAGATGACCTCCGTCCATTCTGAGTCCACATCTGAAGCTGGGGACGCTGACGGCCTAACTCAAGATAGGCAGACAGAGAGAATAAAGCTGTCATGCCGGTCTGATAACGGGAGTCGGGGGATTCAGTGAGGCCGGCTTACATGATGGGGACAACGTGCTCATTCAGATGTGGACCTCCACGGCCACAGGCCCTCTCTGGGTAGTTTACCCAGATGTCTGGCACCCCAGGCCAGCCAGGTCAGTGCCTCGAATTAACCATGCCTTACTCCAAGTGCAGGCAGCCCTCTTCACTCTGAGGGAGAGCTGGCGTCCCGGGTGCCCCGCCGCTGGTGGAGCCTCTGGCTCCTCCTCTGCTTCTGTGTGCTGCTCATCAGGAGAGCGGGCCCCAGACGACCTCTGTTTTCTGTGTGCTGATTGTCCTTTTTCCGCGTTCTCTCACTGTCCTCTCCCTGGCAACATCGAGAGCTGCGTGGGACGCGGCACTGACTCCCTAAAGCTGCGACCTGGGCTGCCCCTGACGGAGTGGCTCGGCCCTGAAACTGTCGCCTGTCTTTGAACGTCTCTGTTCACCCACATGCTGCTGTCTTGGATCTGACTGCGAAGAGCATGCGGAAGAGTATAGAAGCTCTTCGTGGGCACTGATCCCTCTGCCATGACAGTATCAGAGTAAAGGACCAGCCCTGGAGGAGCAGGTGAGGGAAAGCGCCGGTGACCACGAGCCCCACATGGGCCCAGCGTGTGTGCTGGAGGGGTGCAGGGAGGGGCGGGGAAACAGATCCTGCAGCCTGCAGGATTCCGGACAACCTGAGGCCGTGCTGGAAGAGGACAGAGGATGATCGGGGACCAGCAGCTGGGATGACACGGGTCTCACCCACTGGAGCAGGGTGGCAAAGAATGGACATCCAGGGGCTGCCTCGCCTCGAGATCACGGGAGTGACAACCAGGTCTTCCCTGCTGGCCGGAGCCCCCGACTGGGCAAAA